TGTACCTTGCTTGAACAGCTCAATGAGCGCCTCTCTCAGCGGCAGCGCCTGAATGTCCGTGATGAACCGTTGCTGGCAGTGGAATATGGACAAACGCGCAGTGGTGTGTGTGGAGCAATGTGAGCAAGCAACCACGTACAGTTTCGCAACACCACCACGCACAACGTAACACCACCGCCACCGCTAGAACCGTTGCCACTCCAACGACCGTGCGCGTGTACCTGTACAACGGGCTGTGTTGGGGTCGGGGTGAGGCGCGTGATGTACTCGTCTGGCTGCGGCTTGAGCGGTTTCGCTGCGCTGGTGCCGGCGTTGACCAGCTTCTGCGCAACTTGCTTCGCGCGGGGCGTCTGCAACGGAGACATGACAAGCAGCAAGAGGCATGAGGGGAAGCAAATGTGGCAGCCACGAGCGAGTGACAACCATGGTTCTCGGTGTGTATGTGTAGTTGCAGTTGCGTGCTCATGCCTGCGTTTGTGACCGTCAACATCAAGCCATGCGCAAAACAGCCCATCTCATGGAGTCAACAACAACAACAACAACAACAACAACAACAACAACAACAACAACAACAACAACAACAACAACAACTTAAACAACAACAACAACAACAACAACAACAACCACAACAACAACTTAAACAACAACAGAAGGGGTGGGGGATCAAGAAAGGGACAGGGCGTGTGTTCTCACGTGCTTCTGGACGACCGGCATTTTGATCCATTCTTCCTCTTCCATGAGCGCCTGGTGGTGTGCATACGACCGCTCGCGTGCAGCCGTTGCCCGCGTGGTCTCACGCCGCTTCACTTGCATCTGCACACGTCAACCGCGCAAGGAGCCGTAGTCGTGTGTGTGTGTGTGTGTGTGTGTGTGTGTGTGTGTGTGTGTGTGTGTGTGTGTGAAGACATTGGATCGTCAAACAGGGCCTCTTAGTCAAGCACACACACATACAGACATACATCTACCTGCTCGCACCCTGAGTTTTGTTGGCGGTTCGTCCGGTTTCTTCGCCCGAGCCGACGACACCTCTGCACACACACGCACACACACACACACACACACACACACACAGTGAACAAGCAAGTGAGAAGCACGTCTACTTCATCGCGCCTGTGTGTGCATATGTGTCCACGTGATGGGTGCGTGCAGTGTGGTGAATGCATCACCTGCTTGGTCGGCCGCTTTCTGTGCCGCCTCGCGTTTGTCCTTCTCATCTGACACAACACAGCACCGCCGGCACAGCAGCAGATATACAGCAAGGGGTTGAGCAAAACGTGTGGGCATGCTGCTGCACAGGTGTGTGTGTGTATGTATGTGTGTGTGTACGTGTCTTGTCTGCGTGTACGTGCACGTGTGCATGTCTTGTCCGCGTGTACGTGTACACGTGTGTGTACGTGTACACGTGTGTGTGCGTGTGTGTATGTTCTTCTCTCTCGCTGCATTGGGACTGTGGATGTGCAGGTGGCGCATGCGGTGCGGGTACCAAGGTAGCTGAGGCTGGGGCGCATCTGGAATACGGCCTGCACAGGGTTGATGTACAGCATTCCTGATGGCAGTCACACGCGAGGCATGAGCAGTAACACACGCAAATACCGCTCGAGTGAGGTTTGGTGTGATGGGTGAGGGCTGCTGTGCGAAACCAAGATTCGCGTAGTTGAACATCGCATGTCAAAAACACACACAGAAGCACATATTTACACGTTCACACAAACCCGATACTGATTCACATCTACGCAAACATATGTACAACGCAAATACACAAATACACATACACACACATGCACAAAACACGCGTCGCCCCACCGTTGTGGACGACACCAATGGCGTGCTGATTTGTAACCGCCTTCGCGACCGCTGCCTTGGCCGGGACTTTCAAACCTCCTCCGCATGAGCAACCAGGTCCGCCCCTGCTCACAAGTGTGTGTGTGTGCATTCTCCGCCAAAATCTCCCTGCAGCAATGTGTGTGTGTGTGTGTGTGTGTAAGTGTGTGTGTGTGTAAGTGTGTGTGTGTAAGTATGTTCATGTGGGTGTGCGTGTGTGAGTGTGTGTAAGTATGTTCATGTGGGTGTGCGTGTGTGAGTGTATGCGTGCTCGTTTGAACGCGAGAGCTACATCGATGCAGGGAAGCACAAGAAGGATTGGAGGCAAGCAAACACCAGATGCACACATCTGTGCCTCAGGATACGCACCTCCCCCCCCCCTTCCACACACCCACACACAAATGCACACGCGCCCGACGAAACGCACGCTTTGATCCTGTCAACGTTCGGGCTCTCTGTATCGAGAGGAAAGTCCATTTCAAACGCCTTTTGTTGCGGCTTGATCCTCGATTTCTGCACACACACAAACAAACACACACACACGCACACACGCACACACGCACACACAATCATGAACGTGAGGCGGTGTCCGTGGGCACGCTGTGGGAGCGGGGTGCAAATGCATATCGTGGTGGTTTCAGCGCCCTTCCCTCGCTCCTCCTCCTCCTGCCCTCATCTG